CCGGGGGGGGGGGGTGTGAGCAGAGATCGTGCACGATATGTGTTGGTGGGTTAGGTAGCATACCCTGCCCCCCCTCCACCCGGACCCATCCTCTCTCTCTCTCTCTCTCTCTCTCTCTCTCTCTCTCTCTCTCTCTCTCTCTCTCTCTCTCATGATCTTAACTAGTGTTGAGTTGATTTAGAGACAGTACTTTCATTTGTATGAATTAATACAATTTACATATGATTGAAATTGATCATCAGCATTTTTTGCATATGATTTCACAAATATACAGTCTTTACTTCATCAATTTAAACTATCTGACCCAAAATAAAATAAAATTATAGTCTCTAAATTTGTTCCCCTAATTAAGTCACACCCACTTCTCCTTTTTAAACCATATAATTTGAATCCACCCCCCACCCCCGCCCCCCCGGAAAGCAAAGGAATCAGCTCATGCAAGTTTTTTTCAATTTTCAGTGACAACCTGTCTATGTAGAAAAATATGCAGCCCACTTCATATCTTTTTTTTTTCTTTTCAATTTTACTACGTAATAATTATTTAAATAAAAATAAAAACCCTACTTCTCACACACACACTTTACAAGAAAGAAATAAAAATAAAAATAAAAATAAAAATATATATATTTGTTGAATCTGATAAGGTATATAAGCTATATATCCATCCATCCCACAAGAAAAATCAATGCATCTCTCTCTCACCTAGGTCCATCTCGCCCAATCATTTTCTTCATCATCTCTCTCTCTCTCTCTCTCTCTCTCTCTCTCTCTCTCATCTCTTTCTCTCTCTAAACACACACACACACACACAGTGATATATCATATATGGCTTGTAATATTATTAAAGGCCATATGAAATTGTAGCAGCACTCATAATAAAAATAAATAAAATGGGTTTCTTCCATTCAAATTTCATGCTGCAAATCCCACATCAAGACCATGATTTGAATCATCCCTCCGCTACTTCTCTTCCTTCAATTCTCCCCTCCAATTGCACCACCCCTCAAGAATTTCACGGTTTCTATTTATTTATTTATTTATTTATTTTTAATTTTTAAATAAATATATTAAAATTTTGATACTGTAATTATAATTTTGTTTATTGTACACGCAGGAGTGGCTTCGATGCTGGGGAAGAGATCTACGATGGCGTTCTCGACAGGAATAATGGACGGCGGCTGCGATCACCACCACCAGGAGATGAACAGCAACGTACACGGCGGCGGCGGCGGAGGTGACGACGAGCTGTCAGATGAGGATGGGTCACAGCTGGGTGAGAAGAAGAGGAGGCTGAACATGGAGCAGGTCAAGACGTTGGAGAAGAATTCGAGGTGGCTAATAGGCTCGAGCCGGAGAGGAAAATGCAGCTGGCTCGAGCGCTCGGCTTGCAGCCGAGGCAGAATGCTATCTGGTTCCAGAACAGACGCGCGCGTT